GTGGAAGTGAGAACAGACCCTGAAAGTCTGGCAGGAGATAGAGAATCAAATTTCAGACCTCGTGGCAGTGAATCTGCCAGTAGTTAATATGAGTGCTTTGACTAAGCAAGAAAAGAAAAAATCCCCTTAAAGTGGCTAACTGATACTAGGAGCCTAGACACTGTTCTTGCACACTGTTCACGTTTCCCTGGGCTTATTGGTGGTTTTTTTTTTTTTCTTTTTGAAAAGACAACAGTGTTCTCCTAAATGTGCTGTACGAAGGAGCACTGCCCAGCTGGGGTCAGGTTTGCTGGGTGTGATGGTTCACTGACACAGTGACACTGAAATAGTATTTCTATTTCTGCAGAATGAGCCAGGTTAAGCTGACCTTAGCTCAGAAATTTCTATTTCCATCATAGGCAGTAGACAGGCACTTAGAGAGGAGTCTGTGAAGTGCTACATGGATCTAAAACTCGTGACTGCTTATTGTGTGGCATCTCCTGAGTTAGCACCTGAACTATCATGTTCTGCATCTTCTGATGACTGTGCCCTTAGTGATTTCGTGCAAAATTTTGCTTCATTTAAACACTTTCAGTTTCTACAGTGTCCTGTGGCTGTGTCTTCTTCAGTTTGTGTATGAAGCAGGACACTTCCTTTCTTTTACATTTTCTGCCTGTAATTTTACTGAGAACTTGCTAATTATGGCAAAATGGAGCCAACATTTGGTGTGTGACTTCATCATTTTGCATTTTCTCTTCCAATCCCAGTGGTTATTCTTCCAAACCAAAATGCCATGTTCTCCCCAGGCACTTGGTTGCTCTACAAAGATTATACTGGGGGTTTCACAAAATCTCTTCCTTCCAGCATGCCTGCCATCTCACAGCAATCACTACACCTATCCTTAAAGCAATATTTCCTGTCCACTTCTTGGCAAGTTCTCCCACACAGGCTTCCTCTTTCTCTTTCCTGTCATTTTTGTAGCTTGTCCCCTCCTTGTCCAGACCTGATGTGATGTTCCTTTTTCAAAACAAAAGGGAGAGAAGAGTTGTGAATGTTGATGGTGAATAGAGATTTGTGATTGCCAACCAAAGTCCACAAGTTGTACAGATAAACTCTTTTGGTCCTGCTTTCTATTCAAGGTAAATCAGTCTTAAAGAAAGATACTCTACAATTTAGTACCATGTGCACATAGTCACGTATCATACACTCTGAGTTAATCCTATGTGAATTCATAATCAATGCAGGCCAGAAGTGTCAACTCAGCCTATGAAGAGCTTGTATTGATGTTCTTAGCACTGCCTTTGGGCTGAGTCTGAGCACATCATTCCTTATCCTCTCTCTGGAGTAAATTCTTTCTCCATAAATCCCATCTGAACTTCACAGGTGACTATTGGGATGCTGTCCTAGTAGTATGTCTGGCCCCTTTGAGTTCAGGTCTCAGAGTGAATTATGGAAGACTGGAAAACAAAGGGGGGGAAAAAAAAAAGTAAAATATTTACTACTATTTCTGCACAAAGTGCTGAATTTTATACGGCCCTTCCCAGAACTTGGATCAATGGGTGCTTCAGCAGAACAAGGTGTTCTTCAGCAAAAGAATTGCTGGCTTGCTGATCAATTGAAGTTTGGTGTTGGGCAAAAATATTTTTTTCCTACTGAAGACCTAATTACTCACTTCTGGCTACAAGATCAACATTACTCTACTGGGGTTAAAAATTCTGAACCATATCTGGCAGTTTTTACATAAGTAAGAAGTGGCAGGAACACACCCCAGAAGTTTTCTTGGGCAATAAAGCTATCCCCTATTTGCACTTCAGAAGAGAAAGGCTGGTAAAGGGATTTCTTTTTAATGGAACAAAGGAGATGAGGAAGGCTGCAATCAGAGCAGTGACTGCAGTATCAGCAGGAGCAGATTCTCAGCCACTCTCTGCTTCCTTTCTGGAGAAGGCAGCTGTGACCATGAATAACAAACAGGAAAAACAGAGGCAGGTCTTTTTTTTTTTTTTTCTTTTTTTAATAAAAGTAGGGCAAGGGGAGGGATGAGAAGCTTGGGCTTGCTTATGTAAGGGTGAGTACAAAAGGGAGTTCCAAGACCCCCTCCAGAGATCAGGAGGAGTGAAGCAAAAGAAGGGCAGGAACTTCTTCGTTGAACAGCAAGCTTGAGAGGTTTGTGCTTCTTTATACCTTTATTGTGGGTATTGAAAGATGAGAGTTGCAACAGAAAATCAGGGCTTTCTTTGTACAGGCAATGATTTTAGGAGGGATCTTGCTTCTATGTTCTTGAATCCCTAGCTGCTGGAAAGCCCTGGGGAACTGGTGGAATTGCTGTCTTTGGAGGCTTTCAAGAAAAGGCAGGTATGGCACCTAGGGATGTGGCTTAGTGGGTGGGCATGGTGGTGATGGTTTGACAGCTGGATGAGATGACCTAAGCGGTCTTTTCCAACCTTATGATTGTATGAAAGTTTTTCAACCACTTTTTTCCCAGTGCAATTCTTCTGCCATGGTTCTCTTTAGGGACAAGAGTCATCACAGCTGACAGGCAGGATACTTTTTCTCTGGCAGAGTGGTCAGGTGTTGGAACAGGCTGCCTAGGAAGGTGGTGGGGTTACCATCCTTGAAGGTGTTCTAGAAATGTTTAGGTGTTGTACTGAGGGATGTAGTTTAGTGAGAATATTGGTGAGTTGTGGACAGTTGAATTGGGTAATCTTTGAGGTCTTTTTCAACCCTGGTGATTCTGTGATAGAGACCGTCATCCTGCTGAAGTCTAGCTCTTCAAGCACAGCATCATTCCTAAAATGATGGCAGCTCAACAAAATTAAGCCTGACAAAAGCGTCCACGTATAGTAATTGGGATAATGCTTGTGCTCTCTACCTTAAAAAGAGCTCAGAAGTGAAATGAAAACCTGTAATTAAGTCATACTAGGAAAAAATATGTTCCCAGTTGTGACAATGCATACTCTCTATAATCTTAGAGTATCTTCTTTAGTATAAAATGAAAAAGTAAATGTCAGAGATCTAAGAAATACACTACTGAATGATGCATAATTGTAGGGGAATGCTAATTGAATGAGCATAAGGGACTGGCAAATTTGGTGGGATTTGTGTCTGAGCTTTGCACTGGGGCATAAACATGGGCGGAAATCAAAGTCTTTACCACCATAAGGCACAGTTCCCACCATGCTGTTGAGAACTGTGCCTACAGACAGCAAAAGGAGAGCGTGATTCACTGCAGGAGCTGCAATGTGATGTGGTTACAGCCTACAGGGCAGCTGGAAGCTGGGATTACCCAGGCTGTTCCCTCTGGGTGCTACAACAGCATTTCTGTATCACATGTGAGGCAAAATGACTTAAGAAAAAAAAAAAAAAAAAGTACAGTAGCTAAGGGCTAGATTTCCCATCCAGTACATAACATCCACAATAAATACGTAAGTCTGGCAGCTTATTACTGAGCAACCCTCATTAAGGATACTTTTCAGTTTTACAGAGCACAAGGTGCCCTTTGCTGAAACAGCCCAGACTTCAGTGTTCTTGATACTGAGAACTTCAGATGGAGCTTGCATTTTCTCTGTGCCCAGGCCTGGCTCAGTAGGATGCAGCAGGCTGGCTGTGGTCCATGGGCATGGTGCTCAGAACATGCTGCTAGGCCCAATGCCTCCTACAGGCCTGGCTGCTTTGGTAACACATGCACCTTCACTGGCCCTGGGGAATGGAAGGCTAAAAAGGGAGATTGCAATCTGAGACCCAGCTCTGTCTCTTCAGCGTTTAGCTGAACACAATGCATTCTTAATGCAAGAGCTGCTTCTCCCATTGCTTAGATGTATGGCTGGGCTCCATGCATCTTATAGCCATTTGGAGATGGTGCAGATGCACAGGGCTTGTTCTGCAGCCAGACGCTCCTTAGATTCAGATGGAGAAAACATGTTAAATATTTCAAGCTGTTTGTTTAGGCCTTGTTGCATGACAGCATGCCATATGTGGCTATGCTCAGGACTGCTTTCAAGCCTCATTACAGCTTAAGTAGTGAAACTGTTCAAATGAAAAGCAGTGCTGCAGAGATGGACACTTTCCATCCCTCCATCAGGGCTCAGATGTCACTGACAGACCCTTCAGTTTCACCACTTCCAACAGCCCAAACTCATCTAAAACTTTGTTCAGTCTTTCTTGGCTTGCTTCTTGAAGTCCTCGTGTGACTGAACTCTATAGCACAAATTGGGCCTGACTGGCTCTTTAAAACTGAGACCCTAGGATGTTGTCAGTTCTATTCCCATTAAGGCCATAGGATTTAAATTGCTGACTATAATGATGGTGCTGAATGAGACCATCTATGTCACCCCCAGTTTAATTTACCACTTACTTGCTTAAAGAGGAAGAGGGGCCATACAGGGGAGTAGGTCTCTTCCAACCTGAGCAATACTATGACTCTAGGCCAAAGCTGGAGGTTTGCTTCCAAAGCAGCAGAAAGATCTCTGAATCCCTCTCTATTTTCCTAAATAGGACTGTTGGAAGTTGAGACTGGGAGAGGCGAATTCTGTTACCTGGATCTGGTGTCCTAATCCCTTCTAGTTTTCATCCTCTTATTTCCAGCACATTTGCTTTGAAAAGGAAAATGAATAAACTGTTGATGTTACGGATAGATTAAGAGGATAAAAAGTGAAATATCCCACTCGCTGATGTGTCACAATCACACTGACAAGCCACAAGTTAGAGATTCTTATCCAAGAAGAAAAATATCTGATCTGACTGCAAAAACTGCAGGCACAAGGAAATCTGCATTTATTTGAGTCTAGCACAAAATGAGCAGAGTTATTTTCAGGTCCTATAATCAGTTCTTCTGCATAACAAAACATCAATGTCCATCTTAGTCAATGTGTAACAGCAGGCTACACAAATGAGCTGGGTCGGGTTAAAGGTTGTGTATTGATCTCTAGGGTTTTTTGCGCATCGTCCAGTGTTAAATTGCACTCGAGTTTCATTGGGTCCTTTCTGGTCTGATTTAACTTTCTTCAGCCTTCCCACCCATGAGGTAGCTTTGTGCAATGCTACTGGAGACATTTGGGAAGGCCCCCAAATTGGGAAGGGCATAAATGCCCCTGCAGCCACCATGCACTGCTCAAAAGGAACCACAAGGAGTCTGCCCCAGAGGACAGGGCATCTGTGGGGGACAGCAGCACGGACAGTAAGCACACATGGTGGGTTTGCTCTGAATGCCAGTTGTTCAGCTCAAGTTTTCTTCCTTTTCTGAAAGGCTCTGTGTGTATTTACTTAGGGAAATACAGCATGTTTGCTTTGCACAGATCAGGTTGTTTAAGTGGCAGCAGTGAGAACTGCCCTCCTGCTGTTTCTGCCTGTGAGAGTTGGTGTGGTGGCTCTGGGGGAAGCAATCTGCCAGCACCAGCTGCTGTGAGGATGAAGGCAGAGAGTGGAGGGAACAGCAGCACCAGCTACTGCTGCCGATGTGCTGATTTAGAAGATGGGATGGGATTAACTACAACAGCAGAAATTCCTTTTGTAAGCCAACCTGTTAGACGTGCCTACAGCCTGGGAATGTGAATGCATGTTAACAGGCACGTACCTAGTGAGGTGTCTGTCTAATTACCAAGTGTCTATTCCTCTCAGGTTTTACATTTGCAAGAGGGTGGTGATACTGCAGACCCGAGCATTATTAGGCATGAAACACCTGGAGGTCCCTGAGCAAAATGAATATTGTTATACCTTGTAAATCAGGTGGGGTGTCAGCTCTCGAATGGCTGGATTCAATCCATAGCGCTTCCACTCTATGTAAATTAAAGCGTTAGTGAGACAGACATTGCACTGCGTCTTCCTAAAAGTGTCAAGCTACCAGGCTGGCACTAGTTGGAGACTGGCACCACTCAAAAACTGGAGGAAGAAGGTGGAGATCAGAGCTTGGTTAGCGTTTTGCTTGTTCAACAAACTCTGCAGAGACTGGAAAGGGCAATAAGAAGGTGAAAAGAGCTGAAACAAACAAGATATGACTAGTGGTGTAAAAATGTAGCCCTGAATAATAGCATTATGGCCTATAATAAGCATTACTCTCACAGAAGAGTAATGTCTTACACATTTGGATTTCAACTATGTGAATCTGAAGTTGTAGACTACAAACCCAAGGAAGGTGCAGCAGAGTTATTAGTTATTAAAAAAAAAAAAAAGATACAGGAGAAGTGAGAATTATAAATACAGAGAAGTTGTCAGTGTGTTTATGTATACAAGTGTATATGGATATGTATGTGCACGCATACATGTTGTGCCTTTCTTGTAACCTATATGCAGCTGATCCCTTGTGCTAAAACACTGGTAATGTCCATGTTCAGGAGAAGTCTCCATTTCTAGTCAGGAAAAACAAGAGTGGCAGGAAAACTTTTACTGGAGAAAAGGATTACTTGTGCAATAGAGAAAAACTGAGTTTATCTTTCTTAATCCTGTTTTTAAGTGACAAAAGTGCTATGAAGATAAATACTTGGTTTCAGCGGCAACACACTTGTGTAAGAGAGCCTTGAGGCAGTTTGTCTAGAAGCTAGAATGAATGTTTGCACTAGGCTGTGGAAATATGAAGTGCTTTGTTAGTGCTATGCACTACACTGACTTGACATACAGACCAGGAGAGCTCAGTGGTGGGACCTTAAGAGAACTGGTTTTCAAACCCACTTCCCCTGTAACAGCAGGCAAATAGCTTAGCTTGTCCTCATGTCAGCAAGATTTAGTGCAGCAGTATGCAGACAGATCTTTGACTAGGTCCCAGGAGCAACATAGCTGCATTGTTATAATGTTTTGAAAGAACTAGCAGCCTAGTTTGCAAGCCTAGCTCATTGAAACTGCAGCCCTGTTTCTTCCAGTGCACAGTCTTCAGGTTGTGACAGTGGGTAATGTAGTCAGATCCACATTTAGCGTTTTCCCATCTGCAGCCACTGAATCTGGTGGTCACTCCACCCTGGCCTTTTTGTTGAGCAAACAGTGCAGGTAGCACTAGACACTGCTTCCTGCCTTTGTAACACATGAAGTGCGAGCACCTCACCATAAAGGAAACAGTATTTATAACAGGCTGATCAGTCTTTCCTCCCTGCTTTTTCTTTCAGCAAATGCCGTGGAAGTGGTTTTTCAACATGAAGCTGGCAGCAGACCTTCTCTGTTTGCTCCTGTGCTTCACTGCAGTGGGTTGCGATCGGGTCTACGTCCACCCTTTCAGTTTGAATGCTATCAATGAGAGTGCCTGTGAGGAGCTGGAACACTTGGCCCAGGAAGGAAAGAAAACATTTGTGCCTGCCTCCATTGAATCCCAAACTACGCCTGCCTATGAAGAGGATGTGAAGAATGAAGTCAGGGTAGATTCCCCTAGCCTAAGTGTCCGTGGAAGGCAGAAACTGATCTACCTGAAGGACTTTGTGCATGTCCTCGGCATGCGATTTTACAGTTTGCAGAGGGAAGCACGGCAGGGCCAAAATGTCCTGTTGTCCCCTACCAGTCTCTATGGCTCCTTGGCGTCTTTCTACTTGGGTGCATCCAATCAGACAGCTGCTGATTTGCAGGGTTTGCTGGGATTTGTTCCCCCCTCTGGAGACTTCGATTGCACCTCCAGGGTGGATGGGCACAAGCTCCTTGCAAGCCTGAGGACTATCGAAAACCTTGTCAAAACCCAGGATGAGGATCTGCTCTTTTCCAAGATGTTCTGCCTCTTCTCTGCCCCTGGCATACCCTTATCTCAACAGTTTGTGCATAACTTGCTCCGCTCTGCTGATGCTTTTTACACACGAGCTGTGGACTTTACAAACCCAAGTGAGGCAACAAAACAAATAAATGCCTTTGTGGAGGCCAAAAGCAATGGCCAAAGCAAGCACATACTGACAGACCTCGACCCAACTACTGACTTGGTGTTCGCAGTGGATGTTCGCATGGCAGGTGAGAGGGAGGCAAGTACTTATGTTGAGGCAGGCTGGGTGGAAGAAAGGTTAGCTACTGTGCTTCCCAGGGTAGAAACAGGGCCAAGAGGTGAGAGAGAAGAGCTCACTCGCATGGGAACCTTGAGCACTGCTCCATGCAGTGTCCTGTTCCTGGGGTTCTGCCCACATGCTGCCTTCTTTCAGCCAGCCTCAAGATAGCCAGGGCAATGGAGAAGTGGAGGGGGTGGCATCAGGAGACTTTTCCTAGACCAGGCAGCTAAGGTGAAGAAGGGCTTGGGAAGGTGAATAATAGAGTGCTATGCATGATTTCTTACAAACAAGTATCTAAATGTCCTGAGGGGCTTTGGGCAAAAGTCATCTGGAAAATAGGTTTAAAGCAAACAAAAGCAATACCTTTCCACAGGCTAAAGGAAATATCAAGGTCAGAAAGTAAGCCACCAGTTAAGGAAGCTGGGAGAATATCCAAAAACTAGAAATAGGGCAATCTCATAATTATGTGGTGTTATTCCATTGCTGATGTGCCAGAACTCCCTCTGTTTTGCATCTAAGAGTGTAGTTGGTTTTCAGCATCCTAATGCCTGAATGCAATATCAGAGATCGCAAATTTTTGGGCAGTCTGTGTACCGGTGACCGTATTTCAGAAAATTTGCAGTGAATCATAAGTTTCTAAGTGGGCTTCTACTGCTAGCACTGGAGCTCTGGTGTTCATAAAACGCTTTTGTACCTTTATCTTCTCAACTGCAAACTTGATTTCAGATTTCCTTTGCCTTTCATGAGTGCTGTCAGAGGATGCTCTGTAATGCTCATTAACTGATTCCAAATTCTGCAGAAGAGGTGTGACAGACCATCACCTTTTAGTCTATGTGAGGTCTACCATAGAGATAGCACTACAAAAATAATTTTTGTATTGAAGACTAGGACACAGTCACAAGAGCAGAATTTTCTTTTAACAGAGAAACTTTTCTTCTTCTATATAGGAAACTTGTAATTTTATTTGCTTAGCAACACATTTTTGAAGCTCTGAACGGCACTAGGTCAGCTGTTCTGCCTCCTCTTTCAAAACAATGCACTTGAGATGCTGCATTCTCCACCTGTGGGCTGGAGAATATTGGCTCAAGGATGAAATAATTAGATAAGTAACTCTTTATTAATAAATGTGGGAAATGGATGGCAGCATTGGCTTGGCCATTTGGCTACGGAGGGACAACCATGACAGCTTATGCTGTCTTGTTCCATGTTCTGCCTTGTAGCTGCAGGAAGAAAAAAAAAAAAACCCCAATATTTTGCTCTGACACATATTATAGAGGTTTATGAAATGCTTCCAAGAGCCAAAGGATTGATAGAATGACGTGGCAGAAATCTGAAGGCTAAATTTCCTCAAATAGTCTCAAGTGCTGCTCACTTCTCACAGTTGTTTTCACATTCATAGACTTACTGCTGAGCAGGAACTGCTATTCAGAATCCAGCAGGGAACATTAAGTGCAAATCTTACTGATTCAACTTTTTTTTTTTTTTTTTTTTTTTTTTTTGAGGTTGCAAAATAATTACCAACCAGTGAGTGAAGACACTGCAGTTGCATACATGATTTTAAACCCACTGGCATTTAGCAAAACAGCGTGCAACGAAAAGGTGATATTCCCAAGCAGCATCCTTGCTTCGGAGGGCAGACTTTCTGCATCTAAAGTCATATTAAATGCTCCAGAAGCAATCAGCTTCCTGGCACGTTTTGTTAAGCCTTTCTGGAAGCTCCTTTCATTTAATGGGAATGCAGAAACTGCCTGGAGCTAATCCAAGGTCTATGCCCCCAGGCATTCACCCTTGCCAGAGGGCAGTGCTGCTTCGGGGAAAGGAGTGAGAAACACCAGTAGGCAGCCTACTGATTGCTTGCTGCCTCACAAAGAGTTGAACATCACTTTATTTTCCTCTCCTCAAGACCAGGTTAGGTTTTTTAAAAATCAGTTACTATCCCAATTTAATGCATTTAACCTGAAATTTCAGTTCTATTCATTTCTCTTTTAATTCTGTTCTTGGCTTCTGCTCTCCTGGGCCTAAGTTTGGCAAGGTTACAGATGCTGTGAAAGTGGCTCGTTACTGCTTTCAGGTGCTTTCTCTTTCTCCTGAGATGTGGAAAAAAAAACAGTGAGCAACTCTCTTCTGTTATTTTATTGTGTTCATAGAATGGCTTAGTTTGGAACAGAGCCTAAAGCCTTCCCAGTTTCAGCCCCCTGCCATGGGCAGGGCTGCCACCCACCAGCTCAGGCTGCCCAGGGCTCTATCCAACCTGGCTGAGAGCCTCCAGGGATGGGGCACCCACAGCTTCTCTGAGCAGCTGTGCCAGTGCCTTGCCTGCCTTGCATCTGCCTTCCTGGCTGCCTCAGCTGTGAGAGGGCACTGCATGAGAGCTGCCCTGGCAGATGGGTTCAAAATATGCAGCTGTTGTGCACAGTCATCACAGCTGCATGGGGGATGTAGAAGGAATCCATGTCTTCTGCATCTCACTATAAGCCATTCAAGAACTGCTTAGCAGCTTGGGAGGGAGTAAACAACTGAGCAGGCGGAAATTTCAGCCAGCTTTGTAGCCCTTTCTGGTTACAAAAAGTGGTGTAAACACAGCAGTTTTGATCAGTCTTGATAGCATTTCAGAACCTGTGCTGTGAGTCTGTCCCAGCCTCTACCTGATGCTACCAAAAGGCATATTAAGGTAGGTTACACAAGCTTACAGTAGCTAAATGCAATTGTGCATGTGCAATCCTTGCCAGAGACAGTGTGTTATAAACAAACATAGCCCCCAGTTAAGGGGCAGAGGGGAGAATGAAAAAGGAGAATCAATTTAAAATCTTTTGATGTTTTTTTGTTTGTTTGTTTTTTTAGTGAATGCTAAGAAAGCCTCTCGGATGAAAGAGCCTCAGGAGTTCTGGGTTGATTCAAACAGGGCAATCTCAGTCCCCATGCTGTCAGTAACTGGGACGTTCAAGTACATGACCGACACCAGTGAGACCTTTTCTGCAACAGAAGTCCCTGTTGGCAAGAACGTTCTGCTGGTGCTGCTGCAGCCCATCAATGGCAATGACCTGGACAAAGTAGAGGCTGAGCTTCCCTTGCAGTCATCAGCCTGGCTTGAAAATCTGTCCCCAAGGTACATTTTGGACACCATATGATTTCCTGTAAGAATGAATGGGTGAGGGTGTGCAGTGCAGCTCTGCCTACTTCCTGCTCTACAGCAAGGTTTGGATCCTGTCACTGAGAATGTAGCGTTTAATGCAGAGGTGCACAGAAACCCAGGGATGCCACATTATTAGTAGGAAAAACTTCCACTGTGTGGCAACTGACAGATCTATACAATGTGAAATGCGTTACAACAGATACGTGATGACAGAAGGACAGGCACAATAGAAAGGTGCTATAAAGGAAGGGAAGAAGATTGCTGACCCGTATCAGAAGATTCCAAGGTTCACAGGAGAAAGTTTCACCAAGGGATCCCCAACCAGAGATCCTTCCCCTGTGGGGGAAGCCCTTAAATGAGGCCTAACAGAGGTGCAGCCAGGTTCCACACCTTCTGGTCACACAGCTGAAGTGCCTTCACCTGTGCTTCCAGGGCTGACCAGGTCCATCCTTCAGGTGCTCTATCAGTGGTTCAGGTCCTGACTCAACAGCTGCCCAAAAACTACCCATACACTCTGCTCTGATACTACAGGATACACTCATCTTTTTTTTTTTTTTTTTTTTTTTTTACTTTTTTTTTCCCCTCCAGAAAAATTAAATTAACTTTGCCTGAGTTAAGAATAGAAGACAGCTGTGATCTACAAGAATTTCTTGCAGATATGAAGCTGCCTGCGCTGTTGGGGAAGGAGGCAGATCTCAGTAAAATAAGCAACACCCACTTCACGGTTGGAAAGGTACAGTACACATCACTGGTGTTCAACAAAATATGCCTCCTGTAGCTGTATAACTTCAGAATCATAGAATTATTAAGGTTGGGAAAGATCACTAAAATTATCCAGTCCAACTGTCAACCCAAGCTTTTTTCTCGTTATGGAATAAATATTTCAATGGCTTATTTAACATCCGTGAGCCTGGTGGTTACAGGTGATCCAAGTTACTGATTATTGCATGTGCTTTTTTTATTTACTTAAATTCTTATCATATCCTGATGGCTCACCCTTTGCATTACAGATAATGAACAAAGCCTTTTTCAAACTGAGCAGCGATGGAACACATCAACCAGAAGACACCACAGCACAGGAAAAAGATTCAGTGCCACAGGAAGTAATGCTGAACAAACCGTTTCTTTTAGCAGTTTTTGAAGCAAAGTCAAGGGCAATGCTTTTCCTTGGTAGAGTAACAAACCCCCTGCAGGAGGTTTAAATGCAAGCAGCAAGGAAGAGGGGAGAAGAAAAAGGATGCACGCTTCCCATCACCTTTTTGTACTAATAAGCTGTTTTTATGATCATATTGAGTGCTCTACCCTACTTGTAGGTCAAGGGGAAAAGGTTTGAAATACAGCTTTTTAAAAGCTAAAAAAAATTACAACATCCCATCTTTTATTTGTTTCATGCAAACCACCCAGTTCCCTTCTTTCCTTCTCCCCCTCTTGTCTTCCTCTGCTCCACCATTTTTCAAGGCAGTGGGGATAAAACAGTAATCAGCAAGTCAACTTACACTGTTACTTTATAAGTGCAAATGCCATTTACTACAGCAAGGTAGGAAAAAGGATCAGTTTTGCAAGACATCTCTCCAATTTTTCAAATTATCCACAGGGATTTCTAGCTTGATCAGCAGTATTTGCCTTTAAAATGCTGCCAACAGCATGGGAAGGCTTTACTTGTACCACTGAGGCAAGATTTTTGCCTTGCAAGCAAAAACACAGTTGTAGGAAGTTTCTTCTTTCTGCAGCCTCGATGGACACATTTATTTCTCAACTCTGTGGAAAAACTAAAAATAGGGCTGGTAGCATTAATGAAGTGCTGCAGATGAATTCTCATAGCTTGACAGCAGTTTCTCTGATTATTTAGAAAAAAAGAAAAAAGAGGCCCACTTACTATTCCAATACAATTTCATTAATTTCACTACTTAGAATGTTTACTGATATGGGATGCATTTATTACGGTCTTATGGTGAAAAAAAGAACATTACTGGTTAGAGTAGATCTGTAAGCCTTAACACATCCAAACTATATTTTCTGAGGGGGGTGGGAAAAAAAGAACATTATAGTATTAGTGGCAGTAGTCTATACTAATGGTGGGTGTGCTGCTATGTGTTAATAAAATGGTTTTAACAGTCCAAATTTCAGCAGTCGCAGAACTTGGGAACATTAAACTGGAACAACAGATTATTAAGACTTGAATCCTGAATGAGAAAGGGAGAAACTGGGAGTGAAATCTTGGTACTGCAAAAGCCTGCAAGAGCTTTTCCCTTTGATTTTATTGGCACACAAGACTTCCACCTCACATTTTTAGATTTGCCTTTGGAGCTGATGGCATTCAGACAGTAACTGCAAACCCCTCTGCAGTACGATACCAGATGTATTCCGCAGAGAGCAGTATCTCACTGTCATCCACAGCGGTACAGATTTCTATCTTGCCCAAAACCACTCATGTCAGCAGCTAGCTATCGGTGCTACAGATACACAGTGGATTCTTCTACTTAATAAAAAAGACTACTAATAACACAACTCACTCTTGTGAATACTAGGATTTCAAATGCTATAATATCCATGCATTTATCTAATTATTCTGTATGTATTCCTGATGCTTTAACATATAAATACTGCGCTTGCAATATACACAGCAGCAATTAACTATGAATTTGCAGAACAAGAAAGCTACTAATAAAACCGACTTCTAATTGCTTTGCCACAGTTCAGTTGGGTTTATGCCTGTAACAACTCGATCTCTTGTTCCAACTTTTGAAATTTGCTCTAAATCAGATTTATGTTTTACAAGACAGTAAGTTGCAAGTTAGTGCCAATGCTATAGCTGTAAGCATGAAACAGACAGCTTCCAAGTATTCATAAAGGCTCGATTAAGTTATTCCACTTACTTATTCATTGAAGCCAGAAGGTACAATCAACCGCAAATAAAACTGCAGATCATAAAAGTTTCCATTTTTACCATGAAGATGGGAATGTAATGTAAGGGAGTCCCTGGCAATGATGCCGTTAAGTTCTAGGACAAAACACCATTATTTGTAGTTGGGGACTACAAGATACTAAAGGACTCTGTGCACTGCTCAGTATTACAGAGAAGAGAAACAAGGAAAATACTGGCAGTAGAAAGCAGCTGTCCATTGACACCCTGAGGATGAAAAGGAAGAAAGTAGATGCATCCAGCTGGATGCCTAAGTCTGAGAGTCCAAATGGATTCATCCTAGGGAACTCACAGCTGGCTGATGTTATTGTAAGACCTATTTTTCAATGGTCTTGTGAATCTGGAGGGGTCTCAGCTGATTAGGAGCTGGCAAATGCAGTCCCAGGTTTCAAGAATTACATGAAAGAAGAGCCTGCTAATTACAAGCCAGAAAATTACTCTGGGAGTTATTGAAAAACATCTGAAAAACAATGCAGTCTTTGTTCACCATCAACATGGAATCATGAGAAATTGTTTAATGATCTTATATCTCCTTTTATGACACAATTACCTACTCAGTTGACCAAAAGAGGCCACCTGATTTAATCTTTTTGTATTCCAGCAAAGCTTTCCATGGTGTTTCTCACAGCTTTCAAATGGAAAAGATGTCCAGCACATAGCTAGACAAAAACATAGTATGATGGGTGAACAACTGGTTGGCAGGTTGGGCTCAAAGGGTAATAGCAGATGGGGTTACATCAGGCTAGTGCCCAGTCACTGTTAAGGTTCTCCAGAGCTCTGTTTTAGGTCTAATTCTCTTCCCCATTTTCATCAATTGCTTGGATATAGGACTTGAAGGCAAACTAAGCAACTCTGAGGACAACACTAAATTGGGAGGAGCTGCTGACTCCTGTAAAGCATTGCAGAGACATCCTGACAAACTAGAGAGCTGGACAATCACCAGCTGCATTAAGTTTAACAAGAACAAGCTCCTACTTCTGCACGTGGGATTGGGCAAGCCCTGGTATATGTACAGCCTTGGGGAAGAGAGGCTGGAGAGCAGCCCTGTAGAAAGGGATCAGGGGGTTCCACGTGGAAGAGAGAAGTTCTGGAGTCCATGCTACAGTATGAAAAAGATAAGCTTTCCTGAATATTCTAATGCTGGAAAACATGGCATCTGTTCATTTTCCCAACATTATTTTACTGAGACTTGCTCTGACATTAATTTTACGTCTAAAATACTTACCACGTATTACTCTTCACTCCATATAACTAATGAAGTTCTAACAGAAAGGTGGATGTGTTCTTTTTTGCTTTCTTCTTTTTCACCTCCACAGTTAATAATTTTCTTGCTATTTAAGCTCCAGCTGCAAAACTTCAGTACAGGCAGCAAAGCAGATTCCAAGAAGAGCTCAGACAGAGTTCCAAACCCATGAGGGAGTTTGCCAAGCTAACAGTTTAAAAAGCTCTCACTCTTTTTATAAAATGAAACATATTAAGACAGATTTTCTCCTGGCATTATTCACACTGTATCTTATATAACTGCATACGAAACACTACCAAAAAACAGTGAAATCTTCTCAGTCTGCCACTTCTCAGCAGCTATTCTGTTATTGCCACATATATTCTTCCCAGTCTTCTGTCCCATCAGAATATGGATGCAAAAATCCCACTGAAACTTAGGAAACACTTAGGAAACTTAGGTTTCCCCAGTCCCAACGAATTCTTCCACCACACTTGCAATAATGTACACAACAGGTAGCTCAGTATATTAAGTTCTAGTTTGAAGGGAAACAATTATGGAAGCACTAGCCAGAAAGTTAGGTACCGGTACTACAAATGACTTTTTAATTATACAGTACCTTAGCAGCTTTCTGTACGGAGCACTTCTCACCAACAAGGTGCATTAAAAAAATCTGTAAGATAAGAACATCTGAAATCCTAACAAGAGCAAACCATGACTCATGATGAGAGAAAGCTGATAAATGCAAAGCAACAGCAATAAATAGCGGACAGGTATTCCTGTGAACAGTTTCATTATTTCAGAACAGCTGTTCCTTAGGAAGATTTAGACAACTAGCAATACATTTGATTCAAAAAACAAATGGGACATCAGAGTTAGGAAGACAATTTATTACATACTATTTTCATCATATATGTTCATTCTTCTACATAATAACATTTACAAGAAAAATAATGGAAACATTTTCTTCCACTTCCCACTTCTGCAGTAAGAAGTTTAGAACTTATGATTGCTTTCCATATAATGGAAAACTATTGGTAAACTCTCAATCTTTTGGTGAAACAAACAGAAGATGCACCGATTTGTTGCTTGAGATGCAGCAGGAAGCACTTCATTGCTACTTATTTGGGAAAATAACAAATAGTTCTCCTTCATCGTCAATCACGTTTTCAAAACCACTTAGGATTGTTCCACTGTAGCCTGATCCTTGGCAGTTAGAACAAGCTCTGTAAGGGCTGAAAAGCTTTTTATGTTGTTTGTTTCCAGTCCCATCTTTCGTATCTAAAAAGAAACAAAAGCAGCATTGATTTGCTTTAAAACAACAAAAGCTCATGTTGTTAAAACAACTGGGAAAGCATATGTTTTATCTTACATTAATGAATGGTAAAAAAAAAAAGAAAACTCTACAGAAAAGTTACTACAAGAAATTTCTTACCTAGGAAATCTGTTGTTCTAACAGTTAGAAAAACACAACAATGATAAACCTGAAAGTGCAATGAAATCTAAATATACTAGTAATGAAATAATCCTGAAAAGGTGTTCGTTGCTGGAACTCCAAATTTCGTCCAAAGGTACCAAATCAGCTCCTAAATGATTATTCATAATCTACCCAATTCAACTTAAATTCACACATTGCAATATTGTTATTGCACATAACAGGAACACAAAAACCAAGAACCCAGCTCATGCTCCTAGCTAAAAACTGCCAAATGGTATTTCCTGTTAATACTTTTCATGCCTCCACTTAAATCACTTTCCTTTCAGTTAAGCCTCAGAAATGAGAAAAGCATCAGTTCACACACAGGCCAAATGTATCTGCCTGTTATAATGCAGCCACAGCATGTGCTCATGAACAACACTGATGACAACTGCTTGGCAACTAATGATGTAGACTACACTTATTTGTTTATATCTGCATATTACATACAGAAATGATGACTGCAAATCAGGATGTTTATGCAGTTTGATACAGCTACTACACATATTTCCTGGACTATCTTCTTCCCCTTTTTTTTACTTTGGTAATTAAGGTTTCATATTTGGCACTGAAAAGAGCTTACTACTGTGTAACACAACAAATAAGAAATCCTCTAAGCTCTTGGATGTAAACCCTTGACTATGCATTAAGGCAAGGCTGGAAATACCCAGAGAAAAGGCAATCAACAACTGAAGCCATAGAGTCATTTCTACTGGAGGAGAGAAGAAGATTCCCTCTGATTTGTCCACTTAGTATTTCTTTTTAGCTTCTGAGTACTTAAGAAATATTTGAATTCAGAACATTGAGAAATACAAGCTTTCTCATTTATGTAAGAAATCACAGGAAAGCATCTATCGCTCAAGAAGACTCTACACTCAGGTTTCAAGTCATCTGCATTACACAGCTGTAAAAGTCAACCAAACAAAATGTATACAAAGTTTCACTTTTGAAAAATGAAGCTGAACTTTCCTCCTGTACCTCCCCTCCGTTCCCAAAACCAGCAATAGCAGTAAACAAATGTTTCCTCTTTTAACTTACTTGCTCTCCAAAATACTCGACATCTAGAGCCAGCTGCAGTCGGATTTTATCATCATCACTCATGCCCCCATTTGTACCAACAGGGTTCAAAGCTGCAGTCCTCCTGGCCTGCTTCAACCTTTTTAAGCTCTCTTCCATTTTCTTAACGGAGCTCAGAACATCTGATACAGTTTCATAATACCTAAAAAAAGGAAAATTAATGAGAGCAAAAATTTTACTGTTACAAAAAGCCCACCTGCTGCACAGAATGTTATGTATGGCTCTCTTACCTTTGTGTGCTTTCAGAGAGGGCACCTTCCAACCACTGATGGATCATAGGCTGTTTCAGTACATTTCTGTACTCATTCTGCAGTCGGTAGAAGGGCTTAAGAGCACTATCAACATAAGATGAAGCTTTAGTTGGCACTTCCTGGGAGCAGACAGAGAAAGAAGGTAGAAAAAACAAATAACCTGTAATTTATCTACTGATAAGACAGACACCAATTACAGCATGTATGTAGAATGCTAAGGGTGGATGTAAGCCAAGAAATAGATACTTATTCAAGCCCAATCAACAAAGAGGTCTTCATATGCAGGAAAGACCCTATGACAACATCATTTAGTAGTGTTATTCTATGGAATATACTATGGAACAATATCCAAAATGACCCAAGTTTCTGAGGATGCACGTGCCAGCCAGCTACTCGTATCATAAGGGCACTTCCTACTCACAATGGCCTCAAGAAAAGCTGAAAAGACTCAGTATATATGATGCACTTTTGCTAGAATAGCTACTATCTTGTATTATACTTCACTAAACTGAAAACACTGCTCCTTCTATTATTATACCACCCTATTACCTCAGCATATTTTCCAGAAGAATGCTTTTGGGATAACTCCAATATCCACCCCCATTACTACCTTCTTCTGAGCTAGTCTTGGATGCAGAATGTTTCAGCTCTCCAGGACTGATCATCCATCCAAGAGCTTGGACAAGCCTCACTATTGCAGAGGAACCAAACATACACAGGGTACACCTGAAATAACTGTTACTCAAGTTTTCTTACATTGCCATTTTCTTACATCAGACCAAGCTAGCCACAGTAACAACTGTACAGCCTGGTGAAAACAAAATCACAGTAGCAAAACAAGGCAATATCTGATATGGGGTTTTTTGGTAACATATTTATGAATTAGCTTTTGTTAACTTCTCACCAAAACAATATTAATTTTTTGGCCATTCTCATTTGTTCTTTCTGTACAATACACTTCCTGAATCAAATCTAAGAAATTAGCTCACTGGGAAAAAGTTTCTTGACACAGCAGTCAGAAAGAACCACCCCCCTGAACGTACTCTAAAACAAGCCTGCAGCTCAGTAGCAGCTCATCTTCTGATACATGCTATGACACAAGGGAAACTTTTATTCTTATTATTAACCCTTTTTTGTTTGCCTAATAGTTCTACTCCTTGCCTTTCCTTCCATCACAAGCCTGTATTCTCATTGCTACCTCACCTAAAATTTCAAAAAAATTGTAGAATCATTATGGTTGGAAAAGATCACTAAAACCACCTAATCCAACCATCAGCCTGTCCCCACCATGCCCACTAACCACATCCCTCAGTCCCACATCTCCAAATTTTCCGAACACCTCCAGGGACAGTGACTCCACCACCTCCCTTGGCAGTCCATTCCACTGCCTCAACACTCTTTCGGAGAAGAAATTTTTCCTAATATCCAACCTGATTCTCCTCTGTTGCAGTGTAAGGCCACCATCTCTTGTCCTGCTTTGTCTGGGAGAAGACGTTTCCCACCTCACTACAGCCTCCTTTTGGGTAGCTGTAGAGAGCTCTCAGTACTCAGGAAGACAATTCAGCCTCATCTCCCTTGGGCTCCCTTCCTTTCTATGAGGTAAATGGCAATCACTAAGTCATCGAAAGTTATAAAATAGTTCTGTTGACTGCTAAACAGATACAGACAGCCCTGGAGCAAAATGTACTGCTCAGTTAGCATTCTTCACGCAGACTCCCCTAGATGTATTTTTAAATCTGAAATCAGTACTGACCTTATTGGTTCTCCTATATAATCTTGGAATTTCCAGTGCACTCTTCAGGTAAGTGAAAGAGGACTCGCTGAGATCCTGGATAATCCTGCTATTCAACGTAGGTATGCAGGCTGATAAGGAAGTCTTTGAGTCTTCCAAGGCTCCTATTGAAGTAAAAATACTAAAGTTTAAGATGAGCTACCCTGCCCCATCACAGTACAAATCCGCATCATTCCCATCTCTCTCATCTGTCCTAGATGGCTGCTCCTGGTGTCAAATACAGGATAGTTAATAAATACATACATATTAGCCATTTATAAGACATCTCCACTAATATCAGCCATTCCTCAGCCAGAAAAATGGGTTCACAGAAGAAGCAAACAAACAAACAGGGTAAAGTGACATTCTCCAAGTTCACATTATTTTTCCAGCAATGTACCAGCAGTTTACCAACGTAACAAGGGGCTTGAATCAAAAAGCTCAGATCCAGCATGGAAACTGGGACTGTAAAATTGTTTTCCACAGCACCTAAATTCCCCAGGGAGTAACTGGAACATGCCTAATGCACACTCGCAATTGTCAGGAGACCATCTACTGAGTTGCAACGTACACAAGCTCCTACCTCTCTTACAGACTTGGACATCTACCCGTAATATTTTAGTTTCAACTGGATACTGCAAACCATCTCCTTTATTCTCCATTTTCCTTACTGCAAGAGTTTAAAGATTTGATACTGATCTTCCAGACTGAGGTTCCTCGCTTCATGGAGAACCATCTTAATTACTAGACAAGTTCTCTCCCAAGAAACTACTTTAGACTCAGTAAATTTTAATCAAATGTTTTCTAGTCTTCACAGTTCCATTTAAGGCAGTTTCTATTTCTCAGAGTCACAGAATGGTTCAGATCAGAAACAAGCACCATTACATAAACAAACATAAAACATTCCTATTTTCAAGCTTTTCATTGTAAACAATAAAACTCTGCATAAAAGCTGATATGGTTCAGTTAGCAGAGGGACTTGGGAAAGGGGGAAAGACTGAATTCAGTCTCTCAGATTTACCTTCAATACAAGACAAATTCTTGAAGCCAATCATCTCAAGTTTTGGTTTAATCATTTCTAAGATGTCAGGAATCTAAAGAGTGAAACATAAAATAGACACAATCTTATTATAAACATATTTCAATAGCTCTTCCTGTACTCCGCAAGCTAGCAAGTGTATCAAAAGACCCTTTCAATCTTCTCTGATTTTTTGTCATGTTTATGGAAACCCAGACTCGGGTTAATGAGAATATTATGGGAATTAAGGCCTATTCATTGAATTCCCTACATTACCATTTTTGTCCTCAGAGAAAATAACTGACAATTCACAAAACATTATTGACCCAGATGCAGCTTCACAGGATACAGAAATTTCAGTCTCACTGACTGAAGTACATTAGAAGAGTTCCCACTGAAAGCATATTAATATCATATAGCTCTTTTAAAGTTTCTGGATCGTTAGTAAAATATGATGATGATACAACTCTTTTCAAGAGGTCTTTTATAAAAGAGAACATAATACTATTAAACCCAAAATTGCACCACACTTTGAGGCCAGAGATCTTACAGGCAAAAGTGAGACTCTGGGAACAGTGCTACTGTGCACCAAAAAATGAGCAGAAACATTTTAGGAGTAGAGTCTATCAGCTACTGATTAAATATCCAAACAGGTTTTTCTTGTAACTTGTAACTCAAACTAGGTAGAGATTAGACCCCTTATTCCAGGTGATATTTTCTCTGTCAGACTACTCCAGTTTCAGTATTCAAGATGCATTTTAAAAAATAAGTACTTTTTTTTCTTTTTTTCATTTATTTTTGAATTAACAGGATCCAAAACCAACAACACTGGCACACAGATTGACAAAGACTTCTGTATGTGAAGTCACAAGCACCAACCTTTTCCTGGAGTTTATCCAGATCTGCAGCAACATGCACCAACTGAGTACTTGATATGGAAGGCAAAGGCTGACTTTCTGGGGAAGATCCATTCCCTTGGTCCTCATTAGAGCTGAGGTTTACAGAAGTTTCCCTTCTACCAGCTGGCATTAATTTTTTGCTTTCTTTTGTATTCTCACTGGAAATGGGCCTTACAGAAACCTGAAATGTCAAATTGAGAGGGCAACAGTAAAGGCAGTTAAGATTGCATTTATCGAGACAGTATATAAAGGATTAATAAGTTTTTCACATTATAATGTTGCAATTGCAAGAGATAACTGTATTCCTCAATTACATTAAAAGAGATGATTTCAAAGCAGATTTTGGTGCACTACATAATGTGATGACTTAGAGCTTTTTTGTCACTAAACAACAAGGCAGTACAGTCATGGAGTAATTTTCACCCGTGTGGTGCTCAGATTAACAGACCTGATTATCACCCACTTTACAGAAACTGTTTGTACCTGTGAATTGTGTGGGATGGGTAATTCTCCACTGCAGAGACAACCAATTCCACTGCTAGAGTGTTTGAGTCAAAGCCAAGAATCAACACATAATCTATTCCACTGTCACACTTTTGAGAGGAATACTCAGGCATACATCTAGAAGAGTTGTAAGGATTTTCTAGGCCAATAAAATCACCAAATGGAGGAGTTTGAGCCCTCCCCAGTCATTCATCCTCCCTTTGCTCATATCTGTACAAGGCTAGCCAAGGTCTTGCTTGGTGTCAAGAAACATAACTCACTGTTGTCAATCATCTCCTTTCTCTCACTTCCTCAAGCCCTCTACTGCAAAGCACGCGTTTCACTCAGCTATCTGTTTTAATCCTGAGACTTATCAACACTTTTCAAGAGACAATTCAGCTGAAAGAACTGTACTATTTAGTCTCACGAGGAGCATTGCCTTTAGCAACCTAAGGGGAATGCATAGAGGAGATGGAATCAGACTTTTCCCTTAAGTTAAAATGACAGAGTAAGAAGAAATGGACAAGTGCAACAAAGGCAACTGTATCGAATACAAGGATATTTGATTGTGAAGGTGGTCAATCACTGGAAGCAGGCTCAAGAGGCTGTGAAGCCTTCAACTTTGGATATTCAAAATTTAACCTAACATGGTCTTCATAACCTTACCTATTCTGGCCCTGTTTTGAGCAGGAATTTGGACTATGGGACTTCCAAAAGTCTCTTTTATCTTCAATTATTCCCCAATATCAGCTGTGGGTTTTTTGTTGTTGTTGTTGTTTTTGTTTGTTTGTTTTTTTTTTTTTAAGGAGGACTCTTACTGATGGGCATAATCTTCAGAACCATAACTACGTTGTTCTCTTACCTCATTAATGAACACAGAGTAACGTGCCAAAATTTGCAGACTAAGTTTCCACAGACGGTGTGCTAACAATGGTAAAAACATTTGATCCGACCAACACTTCAAAAGACTCATCCAGACCATGTGAGTAGCCAAAAGACAATACGAGCTGCCCTCTAAAAAGAATCAGGCAACAAAAGTTAAGCTCCTAAGCACACTCTTGAAAGATGTTAATTACTGATGTTAATAAATGCATTATCCAACATGTAACAAAAAAATATCCCTGAGACACAACCACAAGGGTAGCAAAGAGGATTTGTTAAACACGGACTAAAACAAACTCTGAAAATACCAGTTCCTCACTCCTTTAGAATATTGTCTAATGACAAGCATACTTTGCAGGGCCTTATGCAAGAGTAAAACTGTATTAGCACTGAACTACTGTTCCTTTCATAGTTAAGTCTGAGGAACATGCTAGAAACAGGTACTGAAAACAGTGGGAATATCCATATTGAAACCAAATACTTATAAAGCAGTTTATGCACTAACATTTTTCCTCCTGAAAGATAATGTGGCTGAAAGACCAGCTGAAGTGCCTCTATACCAGTGCATGCAATGGGAAATTAGCAGAAGGAGTTGGAAACTGTGGTGCAATTGAAGAACTACGATCTTATTTTTATCATAGAAACATGGTAGAAAATGAAAAACTTAATGCAAACTAGTAGTGTGTGCTTGCAGCCCAGAAGGCCAAGGGTATCCAGTGTGTACCAGCTGGATGAGAGGTGATTGCCCCTCTCTACTCTATCCTTGTGAGGCTCCATTTGGAACACCATATCTAGGTCTGGAGCCCCCAGCCCAGGAAAGATGTGGAGCTTTTGAAGTGTTGAGAAAAGGGCCACAAAGATGATCAGAGGACAGGAGCACCTCTCCTGTGAAGACAGGCTAAGGAGCTAGATTTGTTTAGACTGGAGATGAGAAGGCTGCACAGAGACCTCATTATGGCCTTCCAACATTTAAAGGGAAACTATATATAAACTTTTTACATGGGTAGATAGTGGTAGGATGAGGGAGAATAGTTTTAAATTAAAAGAGGTTAGATTTAGATGTCAGGGGGAAGTTTTTCATTGAGAGTGTGGTGAGGTCCTGGAACAGGCTGCCCAGAGAGGCTATGGATACCTTGTCCTTGGAGCTGTTCAAGGCCAGGCTGGATGGGGTGTCTTTGGCAAGCTTATCTAACACTTGACCTAGTGGATGGCAACCCTGCCTGTGGCAGGGGGTTTGGAACTCGATGATCCTAAAGTCCCTTTCAACCCAGACTATTATGATTCTGATTTTATAGCATAGAATCCAAAAGCTAATTAATGTGATCGTGAGTTCCAAATAAATGCCTCGAAGTTGTAGGATTTACTCATTTCATCTTCATGAGTTTTTTTCCTCCTTACTTTCTTTAGCTTAAAAGTTCAAAATATTACACACAAGATGTGTATAAAGATATGTATACATATGTGTGCATTATATATGTACATTACTTTTCACTGCCTTCCTCACAGGTATTTTACTCGATTAACTGAAGTAAAAGCTTGTCTAATTAAAATATACTTCTAAGAAATACCCTAGGTTTGTCCTTCCACTATAATCTTTTCTATGCTTGCCTTCTCACCTGCTCATAAATCAACGTACATGTTTTGAGTAGAAGCCAACAATACAAACCACAGAAAGCCTAAATGCTGCCAACAGATAGACATCTTCCTCTCCACATGTAACGAGAAATGTGCCTCAACAACAAAGCATAACCTTTTAGATATCATGCACAGGTTGCCAAGTGGAAATTTAGACCTTTTTTGAAATAAGGGAATAGACCCACAACTATGTTAATTACTGCTACCATAAGAAGTGTTTTTAGTAAGTGATCACCGAACAATGCTTTTACATTGCCTTCCCCATAAAAATGTAGTCTACTGTTAAATCTGTTCATAAAAAAAACAACAAAACAGCAAACGTGAACACTAAGGATGCAAGTCAGCAAATGATGAAGAGGCAATAATCACTGTTACTTAAAATACAGCTTCCATCACAATAGGGAGAACTACTAATTTTCAGTGGAAGTTTACCTGGTGCTTCCTCCAGGGAATCTGAAAGTGCAGTTTCTAAGGCCCCTGCTATTTCTCTAAATCTGAAAAACAGAGCAGTGTTGATTATAAATAAATCATTTCTTAAATTGATGCCTCAATACTTTTCAATGTTCAGTCTGTATGCCATTAGTGTATACACACTGACAGGTTATACATTTATTATTTTCCTCAATGTAACCCAGGATATAAATAAGGCCAGCAATCAACAAATACTGAAAGACAACATTTCATTTTATATAGGCAGATTTAAAACATACACATTACAAGTAAATATACAACTTAGAATTAAGATCATGTCAAGCATTTAGATCTTTTTTTTTTTTTTATGGAGAAAGGTTTGTGTTAGTGGGCTCTTTTTCCTAATTGTTATTGTTTTCACACTAGAAGTGAACATATTACCACATACTTACTTAAACTGACCTTCAGGTATGTCACGTGGCACTGGGAGCCTCTAGTTTTCTATGTGTTTGTTAATGGACAGTGGCATAAGGTTCTGCAAACAACTCTGTACCTGACAAAAATCAATAGTTCCTCACAGGATGCCCTACCCTCCTCTTTTTCTTTTTTGCCTTTTTTTTTTTCCCCCCCTGAAGTTTAACAGCAAATAAGAACAGCATTTCCCTTGGATAAAAATGTAATCATTAGTAACATTTTTATTCCTAACTCTGCAATAAAACTATATTTTAAACTTCTCTATAGAAAGCTTTTGTTGTTCTTCCTTATTGCTTTTATGTTCATCACAGAAATCTCTACACCTACCAAACTTTCTAATTATGAACCTGCAAAGATCATTTTAAAACTTCTCAGCTGTCATTTCCAAATCAGAGCAGGCACCTGCCCAGCTTTTCCTGTTCCAGCTACTAATGTACCAGATGCATATTTAAAGTAATTTAAGTAGCAATATCAGTGATTGACACATTAAGGAGAAAGAAACCCACAAGAGGTTTCTTGTTCAGCTACTACCAGGAGTTAGCACGGATTTTGAAGGATTCGTGAAATGGCTTCAAATCTTAATTCCTGCCTGTGCAACACTTTCACTGACAAAGCAGCACATTCAGGTCTCACAGTGAAATGAATTAGAGAACTGAATCACTTTTTTTTTTTTTTTTTTAAATTATTCAGCTTTTGCTGCATATTTCTCACACGGGAAAACAATCACAAGCGTGAGTTCCTTACAGTCCCATTATCTGTTGTACTGATGTAATTGAAAGAAATGGCAAGGAAAAGAGTTACTGAGGCAGCTGGTACCTGCACTGCTACAGAAGAAATGCCTCTACATCCGTCTATTCCTTACAGACTCCTTTGTAGAGGCTTTAGTGAGGGCTCTTTGTTCTGGGCAATTTCTGTAATTGAAAAAACTAGCAATCTTAACCATAAGTGCAATAGTGGAAGAACACACTTCACTACAAATCCTGTGTGACTTGGGGATAGTTACATGCAGCAAAGAAAAAGCTTCCACGCTATGAATATGTTTCATTATTCGTGTACTAAAGGATTCATGGGCAATTCCAAAAGTTATCAGATCATTCCAACATATAGGAATGATACTGATGAAAGATGAAGCAACTCCTGTTGCCCAATCATCTCCTGAAATAGTGCACTGTTTGGATTTACAGTAATCTTAAAAGAGAATTACTATTTTTTTCCTTTTTGTTAGCCAGAACTCAAAACACCTAAGAGATTATTATTTTCTTTTAAAAGAATACGCTGAAGATTGTTTTCAATGTTTAGAACAGCAGTATTACAGCTTGATCAAGTGGTCACTTCTTAGAAAAGCTGTGCTTTCAAACAAAAGGGAGGATTCATAGACTCATTAATGATACCTGCCTTTTGCTAAGAAGTTTATAATTGCTGTAGTTCTACAGACACTTACAGTCTGCATAGTCAGCACCACTATTGTAGTGAGTACTCCTGCCCTTTCCCTTGGGCCAGCATCAATATTTGTACAGTTAAGTGGCTTGGAAAAATTGATTGGAGTTGGAAGTCAGCCTTTTTTTTTGCCCAAGGTAACAGTTCTTCATGTTGGTTCACTACACAGCTGCAGAACAGTTGTGCAAGTGGAAAAAAAAAATAATAAAGAAGGTTGTCAGAGGAGGCCAGGACCACCAGTTTACAAAACATAGCACATCATCAAAACAGTAACAAACGTGCTCCCATCCCCACGTTCCTAACACTTGTCTTGAATTAGCTCCAGCTCTCATAAGATACCCAGATGGAATTTTTCAGCAGCATCAGATTTACACTGGATTAAAGATGATGTATAAATGTGGCTATGGCTGTACCATAATCATCATTTATAGACATGCAATAAGGAAAGCCACCATGGTGATCCAGGTTAAAAAATAAACCTCATTTTCTTATCCTTCTTTTTTTGCATATCATTCTCTTTGCTGCCACTACCTACTTCTCCTCTTTTATTTCTTAAAAAAACCTGGTAATTTCAGTGATCCAGCACGTAGGTCAGCCCCACAAACAGCTGAGGTGGAACAAATAAATGTGTAGCATAGTGGGAAACAAAGGCAAGAAAATCTTGTGACTGGATTTGCCAGCATAGAAAACATTATCCAAACCACATTCAAGTAGAATGCAGGACAAGAGGCTACATAGAGTTAGGGTAGAACACAGTGTATACAACACAGCCAGAACAGTTCTTAGGCCAGCTTGTTCTCAACTAAAAGCATATTAAAGAATTCATTAATATTGTGGACTGTAAACAAGAACAAGCCATAAACTCAAGCATTCATCCTCACTGTTTGTATGCAAACTAAAAGACATGTGGAACAGAAAACTGAGAAAGGAAACTGTTAGCTGCCTCTGCTTGTGATCTGATTCCCAACTAACAGTGCCACATTACCCTCAAGGGAACAAGATCTACTCCTGCAACAAATAGCATATGAAGTTGTTGAGAGACTCTCAGAACGCTTTTCAACCTTTGCAACCTACTGTAGGGAACCTGCTTTAGCTGGGAGGTTGGACTTGACAATCTCCAGAGGTCCCTTCCAACCCCTACGGTTCAGTGATTCTTTGACTCTGGAATGAGAGAGATAACACACAGCACATTTTACTTTTGAAACAACCAACAGATGCTTACCAACCTTATCTGAAAATAAACAGGCAAGTTCCATTTGTTGTTAAAGCTGTGGTAGGAGGGATGAGATCTCAACCGTTTCACACTGGCCTGTGAGCCACACTGCCGTTCAAACTTCCGTACAAAATCCATGCTGGTAGTGTACTTCTGCAGGAAGAAAACAAGCATTCTGATCACTGCCAGGGTCCCATTAAGCAATGAAGGCCACAACCCTCTGAAAAGAACTCCCATATCAGCCTACAGTTAAGCTCAAGGCTCAGAATGGGCCAGCACCGATACCTAATCATATAATGCCAAAATCCTGGAGCGCAGTGAAACCAGAGCCAGTTATCTAATAGGTGTTACACTGGAACATGAAAACCCAGTGCATGGCACTTCTGAAAAGCATTAAATTGTCAGAGCTACCTCAACAGCCAGATCAGAGAGACCTGTAAGTATTTCTGAGCTGAATCACCAAGGTGGAGCAACACTGGTGCACAGCACTAAGAACAGTCAGACCCAGTAAATGAGAAATAAAGGGAGACAGCAGATGGATTTTTTGTTCTTAGTTACTTCCAGAAATATGCTCCACCAAAAGCACATGAGAATGAAAGTATGGTATTTTATTTCTGTTATATAGAGCTATAGTATAGGAATTTCTAAAACTGTTTCCCCAAATGTAAGCTTTAGAAACAACAAATACATGCTAACAGAGCACAAAAACTATGTAAATCAAGGAGTTGTAATATAGCTCCAGTTGAAATCTGCCTCTCTGCAATGAAAAATAGCATGGTGACATGCACAGTTCTGTTCAGCTAACAGACAAACCCAACAATACTGAAACACCCCTAACCAAAACAAAACAAGAAACGCCCAGAAAACAAATCAGATGTTGTCTTGTGACATTAGATTGTGCTCATTAAGCCACTGTTGAATTAACGAAATATGCCTGGATTAATCTCCAGTCAACCCAGTTCAAGCAGTGGTTGGACAACGCTCTCAGGCACAGGGTTTGAACTTTGGGTAGTGCTGTGTGGAGCCAAGAATTGGACTCCATGATCCTTGTGGTTCCCTTCCAACTTAGGATATGCTAATTCTACTTCTCTAGGGGTACACTGATTTTACTTCTCAGTGCTTCTATAGAGCAGGGCTGTAAGCAGCAGGACTTTTACCCCACTCCAGAGCAGCCGGTGAGCAACACACTCAGATTCTCTTACGAAGTAGTAAAACATCCCCAGAAGTTCCTGAGTTGATGCTGGTAGGTTCCGCCCCCAGAAACGATCCTGGGCAATGCACTGGCATGGACAAGCTTTTGCATGGCATGTCTCAGTGCATTTGGAGCCTTCTGTCAAATGTATAATTACAGTATGCTTTTCTTGTGATGTGGCAATTGCATGGTGTGGAGATGGTATTCTGGAAGTGGCACACAAAAGTCTTCAGATTAGCTACTTTTGTCACTGTGTAGTTGTATTTAGAACACAATAAAACTGTAAGAGATGTGGGAATTGAATCCAGAAACAATGAGAGATCAGTGTTCTTTCTACCTGCTTTCCTAAATAATAAACTCAATACTTTCAAAAAGATAAACAAGGCATTAATGCTCAACTGCCTGACATATTAGTCAAAGGTATAAACAGAACACTCCAGAAAGATCTCTGACACCTTCAAAACAGACGACAACTCAGAGACATTACCTAGTTATTGATAATATTATATTTAAGAGAGGGAACTACAAGCAAGGTTGGTTCCCTTTCAGCTTCTGGGACTGGATACCTGACGAAGTTATTGAATGATGAAAATATTAAAAAAAAAAAAAAAAAAATGCAGCAGCTTTCAAATACAGGAACCTAAACTCAAATCAGTGCTGAGAAACAGAAGATACATTATTCTCAAATGCCTCTAAAACTACAAATCTGAGTTTGAACGAAAGGCACAATAACCTAAAACAACTTAAAAACTCTGCACAACGACACAGTTACTTTAACACATGTTTAAGCCAGTCTGATTTTACAGCATGACCTGAAAGAAATGTTTTTTCCATCCACTCCCTCTACAGGTAAAGACCCTTTAACAAATAACACTTCTGAGTATTACAGCTATACTTACATATACAAAATAACCAAACCAACTTGAGAAAAAGACTACTCTGCAGTTCTATGAACCTAGGAAACAGAAGACTACTGACTACAGTCTGCACTAATAGATTATCAGCAACATGGCAAATGTTTCACAGGCATTTTTCCCTCCTTCATTTATAACTACTCCTACCAGTTCTTCCACAGACATCTGAGCACTTTTACACTTGGCACTTCAGTGATTTTTAGATAAAATATATTAATGGCCTAGACTCCAAGTTTTATCTTATGTAGACAAAAGCAGTCTTGAAAGAACTTAAGAACTTTGGACTGATTACATCAAGTAACTGGAAGTCATTGTGGGTGTTTCTTGGTTGTTTTTTTTTTTTTTAAATAAACACAACAGCACCATTGGTTGATATCAGCTCAACGTAAGATGAAAGGCTTTTAAGAATAATTCTTTTAAAAGAGTAAAACCATCTAAGTATAAAATACATTCTTGTATAAAGCAAACAGCACAAGTCACAACGTTAGGTGAAAGCCTGAAGGATGACTGAAGCTTTGTGGGAAACTGAGAGGTATTAGGGCAAGCTGTAACCCAGCTGTTTAATAAAAAAACTAAGACAACAGCCCTTTACATACAGAAGACCTGATCTTGCAAAAACACCATAGCCATCCACTTCCACCATTATCAATGTTGCAATTCTATAACTAAAAAAGGATAGTCACTCCTAAAACAAATATTTAAGGCCAAATTCACATGACAAACTGGCTTCCAGTAACCCCTGTAAGAGCTTTCCTGACAGCTGTGATTTAACCCAGCAGGCAGCTAAGCCCCACACAGCCGTTTGTTCCTCCACCCCATGCTTGCTTGCATGAGATGTGGGAGAAAACTGGGGGGAAAAAGAAGAAAAAAAAAAAAAAGGGTAAATCTTCTGTGTTGAGACAGATTGGTTTAACAGGACAGGAAAGAGATTGGAAAATAATAATAATAATAGAATACATAAGACAAGCAGTGCACAATGTAATTGCTCACCACTTGCAGACTGATGCCAATGCCTGACTGGTTCTCAAGCAGTGGCAGCCCCTCCAGCTAACTCCCCCAGTTTTATAGTTCCACATGAACCCACAAGATAGGAGACATCACTCTGGCCACTCTGGATCAGTCATCATGGTTCAGCCCCTTCTCATGCATCCCCAGCTCCTCACCAGCTGCACAGCACAAGAAGCTGAAAGGCCTTTGGCTCTGTGTAGCACTGCTCAGCATCAACAGAAACACCATTCTGTTATCAACACAATTCACATGCTAAATCCAAAGCACAGCACCATACCAGGTACCAAACTGAAACCACGACGCTGACAAACCTGAGGGGAGAATTAATTACTACAAAAAAAATCAAGTGTTGTGAGATAGTCTTCTCTTCCAAGCCATGCACAACAGAAGTTTACATAAAAGCAGTAGGAAAAGAAAGCTAGAGCATATCACTCATTCATACATGTGTCACAGAAATAACAATTGGAAAATAAGTCACAAAATTAATTACCTCATGAAACACATCTGGGTTTCCAGGGTTAAATAGTGATGGCAATTTTTCTTCTAAACCACGTACTATTTCTGGCCACACTGAGTTCACTAAGAAATCATATCCAGGAACAATATCTGCTTTTTCACTGAAATAAAAATGAAATGATTCCATGGTTGTATTTTACCACTAGGCTTCTATTTAGAGGTAAGGATAACTAAAAGGACATGCACTGCATTAGACAAAATGTAATTACTTTTTTTTTCTTTTTTAATAAACATAGGAATGCTGATTTTTTTTACACTGTTCTTCCTTCCACATTGGGATGATCCCAATGATCTCAACAAATTGCAAGTATTTTTATAATCCTGAAAGTGTTTTACAATTTTATCAGTTACATATTTTGCAAGTGCGTCTGGAAAGCATCTGCTTTTCAGCTGAAAACTCCTAACTCTTACTCATGTATTTTCAAGATTTAAACAGCTCCAAACTTGAAAGAAACAGCAAATATGTGCAAGGTGACTTATGCAATGGAAAGAAAGAGAATTCTCTTTTGTCATTGTTCCAAGCTGTATTTATACACGTTACAGTGATTCCAAAGGAATGAAAGCCACCCTCGTTAGGAAAATTTATAAATCAAGAGCAGAAGAGACACAAGCATTTCTTTCCATTTCAGTATACAAAAGTCAAAACCTTCAATTATGACAAATACAGATAAAAAAACTTGCTGAAAGAAAAAGAGGTATTGTAACAGTAATACAACTTAAGAGCAAATGATGACCAGAAAAACAGTGCAGTCCCTATGGGATGTGTTTGTAGTTCTGCTAATTACAGCATTCCACTTTATTAACCAGCCTGCAAGCAGATGGATAAGTGGATACGATTCAGTACACATAAAACATTTAAACTTCAGAAAAGGCAATTTAACTGCATAGGGAATTAAGCTCTTTTTAAGACAACAGTGGAAGTACCATAGAAATCAATTAAACATTGTCATGCAATAAATCTGTCAAATTGCTGGGGATCTCCACTTTTTTGATGCACCCTAGCAACCCAGTCACTTTTGAACTTCTGTTTTCTAATAGCTTTATGATGCCCTTGAATGAAACATTCAATCATGTTTACTTGAGCGGAAAAAAACAAAAACACAACAGAACTCTAGATTTGTGACACATTTAATTGTGATTAGTACTCAATTCTACTACTGAAATACAGGATTTTATTCGCCTCCTGTGAAGGTGTGGACCCCAGATCAAGAAAATTTGTTCACTGTTTTAAAAACACACACGTGATGCAAATCAAAATTGAATATGAATCCTCCGGAAAGACCCTCTAAGTCATTTGTGCATGGAAGGTCAATACACAAGATACTTCAAAAATATATTATCTTTGAGATAACCTTAGAGCAATTGAAAGAAACCCCAAACATTTACCTTGAAATAGCTCCCCCTGTAACTTCACGCAAGAGACGGCAGTGGTGAGGAACAAACTCCAGCAGTTTATTGTACATGGCCTGAAGGCCGTTAGGATGAGCTTGAACATACTGCTCCACAATCACCTGTCAGGAAGAGTTCAATGCTGAACATCAGAAGAGCAAGTATGAAACACAGTAATAAAAGATTCAGATGTCTATTCACTCAAAACTCCCAATACCATATCCAAAAATACTGCAATATTCAGTATTTTGCTTCCCCAGTTTCCAAGCAGGACACATCAGCTTGAGAGAAAGAAGACCACTTCCCACTGCAGCAGTTCCAACAGCATTACAAAGCACCCAAAGGAAGTCCATTCTTAAGTGGATGTCACCAACATTCTACTTCTTCTACCATCCAAAAGCCATCAGCTTTGTTTTCTGAGTATGTGCACATAAACTAAAAACAGAACAATTTTAAATGTTTCCTTTGCTAAAGAAGGGAAGAGGCATCCTATTGACAATGATAAACAGCTCACATTTTATCAGATAGACTATTCTTTCACCGGGGAAGGTAAATAATTTCATATCTTGGCTGCTGAAGGAATTACTAAGTGTTAAAAAAAAAAATAGTAATTTATTTCCCCTATCTTGATTTAGAAAAACTCCTTTATCAAAAGTTACACAGATGAGCTTTTGCTTGCCTTGGTTAGAAACACTGAATGGCAAACTGCCTCTAAATAAAAGAAGGAAACAAATAGCTTAAGTTCACTTCTGCATTTATGTGTAGGAAGGCATGCTAACCTTTGAAAAGGCAATTAATACTGCTTAATGCTACATGTTCAGCATTTTTAGGAATAATGTTCACATTGCTTTTATGGGTCTTAACAGAAATGTCAACTCTTTAATATGAGTGTAAAAAAACCAGTAGAGAATAATTGTTTTAAATATCCTGAAAGCAGAACAGTGCCTTGCATCATCCCATGCCTCTCACTTAGGGGTTTATGGAGCCAGGAGAACACCATTAAAACATTTCCATTTCAAGAGTAATGGCAATAAAGGAAAATACAGACAGCAAAGAGAAAGATACAGTAATGTAACTTGGGACTTAAAGTCACTGAAAAGTGTTGTCTCTTTTAGAAGCAATGATGAGGGAAAGGAGATCTATTCTGTTTCCTATCAGCATACACCAATTTGAGCAATCACAATCACCAAGGCAGCTCTCATACTTCCAAGGCCTTTCCTCCCCAAGGACACAAAAGTGAAAGCTTGGAGCCAAACACAGAATCAAAGAATGGTCTGGGTTGGAAAGACCTTTAAGATCACCCAGTAACAACCCCCTGCTATAGACCAGGCTGCCCACGGCCCCATCTCAGCCTGGCCTCGTATGCTTCCAGAGAGGGGGTATCCACAGCCTTTCTGGGCAACATGTTCCAGTGTCTCACCACCCTCACAGCTCTTCCTAATACCTAGTCTAAACCTACCCTCTTCCAGTTTAAAGCCATTTCCCCTCGTTCTGTCACTATGCGCCCTTACAAAAAGTCCCTTCTCAACTTTCCTGTAGGAAATCATAATTAACACTGCCAAGCCATGCATAATGCTAGTTTTAGAACAACTTTATAGCCCTGGCACTGGCCCAGCTTAACTTTTTCTGTAAGAAAAGTGAATTTAATAGTTTTATAAAATGTTCTGATAATCTAGTGAAAACCAGGGAAACTGCCTAAAATAGGGCAATTAGCTAGCATTAGAATTTATACTGTAAAAGGACATTGATTCACATCTATCCCAGTAGAGAAAAAATTATCTGTCTGCAATGACACATCATTACTACCTGACCTGGACATAACTGCCAACACACTGATGAAAACTTTCTTAGCATCTGTTGCCACTCTGCTCTTACAAGCGTCAATGCTTCCCAAACAAACCCTTGATCTTGCTCCTACTTTTGTCCTGGCACTGGTGGGAACTGCAGATGTTGCCTCTTCCCACAATGGGAAGAAAAGGACATTGCACTAAGAACTACTTTTGCTGCATTTGCTTGGTACTGAGCCTGCTGATGAAAAATGCTCACTTCAGTCCTGATTCAATGCACTCTGGTCCAGAGTAAATTGTATTTTACTACAGTCATTTGCTTAGTTTCAAGTCTGTCAGTTGGATCTCTCCCCTGCCCAAGAAAAACATAGGTAAAGAACCTCGAATGGATATACCCAAAATTGGTGACAGGTGAATAGAGAATTCCTCCACCTTTTTTCCTTAAATAAAAGAAACAAAAAACAACACAGTCCGTTCCCTCGCTCCCTCCACAAAGGTACTTTGAAACTGCTAACCAGAGCTGGAAAAATAAGTATTCTTGCAAGTCAGTTCACTTTCCTAGGATTCTTGATTTTCTCTTACCTCGTCCATGTAAGGTTTTACAAGCACTTGACCAACTAATGCCTCTGCATCTCGTGTTTTGTCAATTGTTGCATAAGTGCGAAGACAGTGACGTATTATGTCAACATTTGAAGTCTGAAGTCCCTCCAAGAGTAGTCCTTCCAGAGACTGCTGCAACATAGCTGTTATTCCAGCTATACGCTACGAAGAGAAACAAAACACGGTAGTTAAAAAAAGCCTTGCCATCATTGCTGAAGAAAATTCTTCCAGAAATACTTTGTTCAGCTTTCAATTTTTATTTGAAAGGCACACGAGTTCTGATAAATGTTAACATCAAATGAGAATTAACACAAGCTTACTTGGTTACAGACGTTATTCAACACAGTATTATTATAATAAATGTTAAATTAAAAGGCAATTATTTTCTTGTATATTTTGAAAGAGACATCATAACTTACCTAAGGTACTCATTATAGTGAAGAAATAGGTCGATAATTATTCCTTGTTCAGCTGAAAAACTATGTGTGATAATACACAAAACTTTTTCAGTATGTTACCTGGGTAACAACTGCAGCATTTATCCCTCTGTCACATACCAAAGACACTGAATTATACTGGCAAAAAAACGATCTGTCAGTACATTCCTTCTGACTTCTGCTAAACAGCTGCTTCAGTTAGCATATATCCTCCTGTTCAGTGTATATCCTCTACAACATTTCTTCTATTAGACCCAACTCCCTGCTACACTAGCTGCAGATACGATGTTGGCCCAAGATGGTCCCTTGCAGCTCTGTACTGAAAGTGAATTCAATAACATGCAATAATTTAATCAAAGTTGAACTATCAATTCAACAAGCCAAATCCTCTCTCTAACACTTATTGCACACATCCATCTTAAAGTTATTTTTTACATGATCAGAGAATCTGATTTGAATACACAAAGCCAATAACCCAACTGCTGACAAGTCATGGAAACCACTATCTGATGACAACCAAAACATTGGTACGTTCAAATTTTTCATCACCAGTCCAAAATAAATTTTAAAAAGCACCAAACAGGCTCTATTAAGAGATCACCCAACCAAAACTGGGATATCAACAAAAAGTATAGGACACCAGGCAAACACTTTTAAGAAAGCTACACAAGAAAGGTTCTCCCACCATAAATACTACTCCTACTACATCCTGTTGCTATTTCATATTCAGTAGCCAGAATAGTCTTGTGAGCAGTCCATGAATCAACAAGGTACCACTGAAGTCTTGATATAAAACAAGCTCATATTGCCAGTAGGAATAAGTAATAGCATGAAGCTGTAATGATGAAACATCTCACTAGCTCAAAAGCCATTAAGAATGACAGATTCCATGCTAATCTGCCTGAAGCATTACCTCAACTCATACTATCTACTTCTTAAGCACCTGCCTTTGTTCCTTCTGACTAGGGAAAAAAAAAAAAATCAGTAGTTCATCTTTTACACTAGATAGTTGCTATAAACAGGCTATCAGGGAGATCAGCCTACCAGCCAGGACACCACAACAGTTAGGCACCAAATACCAGCAAGAGATGAACTTGAATTTATTCAAGTCAGCCACTCTAAGCACATTCAATTTATATTTTGGTCTGGATGCTGCAGCTAACAAAAACAATGTACATTTCTGGAACTATGCTTTGCTATTATTAAGCAGACAAACTGCAAGATGCATTTAGGCTAACAAAAGCGTCTGTCATATTTCCCACTATTATTTTAAGAATTTATCCTAAAATTAGCAAACAAAACACAAGGAATAACACTTCACCGCAGCTGATAAAATGGCCTCCTGAAAATAATTTTCTCTTCTGTGGAAATGGACTGTTGTTTTCTAATAGTATCATTTTAGCTCGATCATGCAAAAGGTTAAGCCGGATACTAGGCAATACTCACTGGTCTCACTTTGTCCAGAAGGGGCATTCCTTTGCTTTGTACTGCATGAAATTGTAGTTGATTAAACTCTGTGGCAATTCTCTCTAAAACCTGTCCAGTTAAAAGCGGGCTAGAAAAGAGATAATGAGAAAATGAGCATACACAGATCCTTTTGTATCAACTTACTTTCATCTGCATCAGACAGGTGACTCCCTTCCTCAATTTTTGTGCTTTGACATAAATATTTGAAATTTAGTACTGCTGCAACCACATGATAATAACACATAGACTATCACAGTTGTCTGGGGCCCATGAAGATACAAGATTTGTGAGCAGAAGCTGAGGAACACGAGATCCTGCCTAGAAGTATGAAGTGTTTTGTTATTTTGTGACGATGCTTGCTGTCATAGACGTCAGTCTCACAAAGCTCAAAAACTGCAGTAAGTGCTCTTTACCATCCCAATTTCCTTATTTCCTTCTTCTGTCCAGTGGTAAAACTAACAACAGCTATTTCTAGAGAAACCATCCTTCTCAAGTTTATATGGTGCCAATAAATTTTGAGTCATTGAAGCAGTCTTGCTTCCAAACATGATTCTGCAAAGTCTCTGACCCTGACAGAAAACACCTGCATATGCTTTTTTGTTCTGTGTATCTAGTTAGTCTTCTGTCCACCTCCACCCACTCACTGCTGTATGATCCAGCAGAACACCAGAGCTTATCTCACATTCAAACAGGTTCACGAAATTGTCTTTTTCCTCTGCCTTTAAGTAACACTTGCATCACAATCAACTATTACAAGCACCCAGATGGTACATCAGTTACAAAACTGACTAAGAGACATTTTCCATCACTCCAAGATAGAGGGAAAGGACACTTTCCACAATGCTGTTAAAAATCAAAACTTGAGTCTGTAGAAGACTAAGCTTAAAAAAAACAAAACTAAAATAATAGTCACATATTCCACCATAATTACAAAAATGCACATTTGTAAATTCATCTACAACAATACCATAAAATTCAGTTGGTCCCATCAATTAAGCAAGCACTTTTTCTTATTTTTTACCTGTTTCCTTCTAAAGTGGATAACTCATTAGTGCCTTGGGAATGTAGAATTTTCTCAATTTTCTCAACTGACTGAATAACATGGATAAGCCTCAGGACACACACCTGTAAGTAAAGAAAGACTTCTTAATGTCTGACCTCAAACCCACTACAATACCTCCGAAGATATCTGGGATACCTTTTTTTTTAAAATATTATTTTTCTCCCCTGATGTAAGATCGCTGCCTTCTTAATATTTAAATCGTGTATCAGTTACTGACCACGTGAGTCTATAAAATCCCTCAATGTGGGAGAACAGCTGTTCTTACCCCTGAATTTTTCCAAGTCAAGCAAGAAGCCAAATGTTATTTTTCCCCCCATACAAAAATTAAGCTGCTGTTTCAATTACTTTCACAATATACAAGTTTACAGACTGCTACAAACAAAAGTAAGAGCAACTGTAATCCAAAAAGCCAACTGAGCCAGTGTTTCCAACAAAGTATTTATCATCAAGAAGACGTAATAAAAATGAAGTCAGTCAACCAAAATATCTCAGTTTAACAACCGCAAAATTCTGCACAGCATTCATCTACATGGCCTAGATCTTTATAAATTCAATTTTCTAGGGGTTAATGTCAGAAACTGCCCTAATAGACATCTCTTCAAGGTAATAGTTTATCTATCGTACCTTTTTTTTCCTGATATCTTCCTGTTTGGACAGACGATCATCTATTGCTTGAATTCCCTCACTGACACATGACCTTAGACTCTGTGAGAGAAAAAAAGTCAGCATGAAAAGCTGGCTTGCTACTATGAAGAAGTAGTTTAAAAAAACAACTAAAAATCCGAACTCTAACAATGCAGAATAGGAAACAGATTAACTACTCTCAAAATAAAAAAAAAAAAGGCAGAAATAGTTCCAACATTCTGTATAGATTTATCTTGCAGGAGTTCACTTGTTCATTATTTAAGGAATCCATAATTGCTTGACTGAAAGGCAGTACTGCAATGTAGGAAATGTAGTTTCTGCAAGTCCTAGAAAACACATCTCCTCTATTACCCAACCAGGAATATAATTTTTAAAGATTATAACAAAGACAAAAATAAAATATAGTTTACATATCATACAGAAGTGAACACAAGTTATAATGACTTTTTTGAGCATACCATAACTTCTTCTCTTAACTGTCCCAAGGGTACTGAAAGCTGATTGAGGGCCTTGTCCATACCAACCTAAAGAAATTACCATAAAAACATTTGCAACTCATTTGGTAAGTTAGCTGGTGAATTACTATTATTCTATAGATACTGAAGGAGAACTGAGATATATCCTCCTATAGACTCCAGTTTTAAGTGCAGTACAAAAAGATGTTACTTTAAATGCACGTATACAGATATCAGATTGTCACATAAAGCCAAAAGTGAAAGAAAATAACAATTTGTAACAACTTTTCTTACAATAAAAAAGATAAACCTCAATCTTTGAACCTGTATGATGTTGTAAAATGAGGTAAAAGAGTAGGAGAAACAGGGAACGAGTAATTTTAACACAGAAGGGATTAAAACTCGGTAAAATGAGTTGGAACTTCTAAAGATGGACAGTAAGTTTGAAGACTAGTGAAGAATACTGCAGAGTGGCCTTGTCTGAAACTTTACTATTGAATATTAATGACTCACAGCATTCAATTTTACAAGTATTAGAAGATGAAAACAGAAAGCATCTGCCTTGAATCTATTTTCCTCATCAATTATACAACAAAAGTGCATTCTAAAACATATATGATGGGTCAATCCTCTACTTCAGCTAAATTCTCCAGGAATGGTCTTTCACCTCCTCTCAATGCAAGGAGACACTGTTTAACATGCCTTAAATCTAACATATGCTTTTCACATGTAAAAACAAGAAGCACGTTACAATGCACAGCGTAAACAAGACAGCAGCACTTACCAGGTTCGTTGAGAGATTAACAAAGTCCGCATAGTCCTTATTTATGAGCTCTACCATGGCCGTCTTAAGGAGTTTGTAATAGAGCTCCAGATCCTCCCTGAGCTCCTCCAACTGCACGCGCTTCCTACACTCGGATACAAAGTGATCGACGTCAAAATCCGGCTGGAAACGAAACAGGAAAAGCAGAACGATGGAAGGAGAAGCGCAAACCAAGCACGCACACACCCATCCCACCCATCCCCTCCCCTGGATCAACCCAGCGACACACACGCAGCTTCCCCGCTGCGGGATCAAAGAGCCCGACCGTGGCTGCAGCCCCCCCCGCTCATCCCCGGGACACACACGGCCCCCAGCCACCTTCATGAACTCGTCCTTGTCAAAGCAGAGGTTCTCGGGGCCTCGCGGCAGGTTCATCTTCCTGGCTTCCATGACAGCCCGGCTCGGCAGGCCCAATACGACAACAGGAACCAGCTGCCGGCGCAACGCCTCATCCGCCCCGCGGCCCGGACGGGGCGGGCCCGGCGTGCGATAGTGGCGCGGCACCCCCTGCCGCCATGGCAGCGCCCCCTGCAGCGCTCCGAGCGGCATTGCGGGCGGGGCCGGGCAACTCAAAATGGCGGGGCCGGGATAAGTGCGGGGCTTGTCGTTTGAGCTGGCAGCCTCAGGCCGTGCCAGGCCCGGTCCCTGAGGTTTGATATCTTTTGGAGTAGAGTTCCTGCTGCTTTTCTTGGTAACCTCTGCCCCTGACAGCAAAACCAGCTTTTCCTTGTCCACGCGTTTCAGGTTGTGCCCATGTGTTCCTGAGTATCAGAAATGAATCGGAGCATAATCCACCTCCTCCATTCTGCTGCCTGTACTCTGTTAACATCTTCTTTCCTTTCAAGTCTTTCATTCGCAGTTTCTCACATGTTAATAAAGGTAACTTCAGATCTAAAAATATGCCTGGCTATCCTGTGCTTCTGTATGCTGCCTCAGAATGGAAGAACAAGTGACTTCATTCCTCACATAAGTGCTTTACTTTCCATTTAACCTTGCCTCTTTGACCTGTACTGAGCCATTGCACTGGTGTCCCTGTTGCAGTGCTCTTTGCACGTCCATGGACAGTGGTGGGAGAGGGTCACTGGGTGCAACAGGTGTGGGTTTTGGTAGGGAGGTCAGTAAAGGAAGGCTGAAGCCCTGCAGATCTGTGCAGCATGGGTATTAGCAGGCTGGAAGCCTACATCCCAGCTTAACTTGTTGAGCTGGTCTCTCCCGGCATGTAGTTAATTAGGATTTCCATGACTTATCAGGATGAAGAACTGAAGAGTTCAGTAACAATTGTGGGCATTTTACCCCACCTGCGTGCTGGTTGTCCCTGTGTGGTAGACAGGCTGATTTGCATCCTGTGAAACAGCCGTTCTCACCATGTCCATTTGGAAAGTACGTTGAGGCTGAGGTTTCGCACAACCCAGCCCCGTTGGAGATCTCAGGTTTGGCAATCAAGGTTAGTACCTGTCACGTGTCATCAGCTGCAAAGCACGAAAGATACATCCACCACATAAATCCATGCTGGCACTTTATTTCTTTTTCTTTTTTCTTTTTTTCCCTCTTTTTTTGTTTTTCTGTAGCTTATGCTGGTACAGGAGCAAAGCCATATTTCTGCTCACCCATCTTTTCAATTTAAATGAATTTCCAAGATGTTGGAAATTAAACTTCTAAACAATTTTAATTTATGTGCTTTACAAGGGAGCTGAGATCTCTTGTGTTAGCTAAGACAAATGCTGCTCTAAAAGTATCTACCAATTTGGGGGTTTGCTTACAAAGTTCTTTGAGGAAAAAGGAGTATGCTTCCACTTGAATCTGTTTGTTGATGAACTGTTTATATCCTTCAGATTTGTTGTTGTACTAGTAAAATAACCATGGAGTGGAATGTAATCATTTGCCAGTGGAAACTGCAATATAACAAGTTCAGTAAATTAACAGTAAAACCAGAATAAGGCTGCCACCTTCATCTGGCACAGCCATGCACAAACCGGAGCATCCCCATGACTCAGCAGATCAAACCAAGAGGAGAATTGAGCCATTTCACAGCACTGTAGGAATCATAGAATCCTAGAATGGCTTTAATTGGAAAAGACCCCAAGGATCATCAAGTTCCAACCTCCCTGTCACTGGCAGGGTTGCCAGCCACTAGATAAGTACTAGATCAGGTTGCCCAGGGCCCCATCCAACCTGGCCTTAAACACTTCCAGGGATGGGGCATCCAGAACTCTTGGCAACCTGTTCCAGCACTTCACCACTCTCTCTGTAAAAAACTTCTCCCTGAATCTATCTTCTATTATTTTTGTGCTAGGATTATTTATTTCATTTCTATTATGAAGCCTTTCTTGATTTTCCTTTCCCAACTTTCATCACTCATTTCAAGATTTCTAGGTCTAGCAAAGCACAGGTTTTAAATTTTTTCCTCATCATTCTTCCCAAGACACAAAGGCATGACACTTAATAACTTCCTATGAAAGCTGGAATCACTATATAATCTGCAGGTTTTGGATAGCATATGATTAATGAACTCATTGAATGAATGAAGAGAGAGCATCTGAAAGTCTATCTCACTTTATTGTTACTACCTGAATAGGGTTGTTGTAGGGGCTAGTGAGTAGAATAGCTACTTTTAGCTTTTGTGTGGGCACTGAATTTTAAAGATTCCAGCATGCCTTCTTATTCTCAAATAATGAGCATTGTGAGGGATGTGTAATGATATGACAAATCACGCTTAGTATAATTATATAATAATTTTCTTGAAGGCTGCCAGTAACAAATCCACTATCTTGGAAATACTTTCATTCCAGTATACATTAAGTAAGCTGGAAAAGAAAGCATCTGCTTTTACCTCCCACCACATTCTTAAGACTTCTCTCTGTTTCTATCATTTTAAAAAGCTGAAGGCCTGACATGCAATTTATGATAAAGGAGAGAAGTGTGACAGTGTGCATCATGCAGGGACAGAGATACTACAGGTAATTTGTGGTGAACGCTCTAGGTACAAAAATCCTTCAGGAAATGTGGATAATATTTGACAAACTATCATGGCAGTACTGATGCATTAGCTTGAGTATCTTGCCTGACTGAAATGACTTCTCCATCAACATATCTCTTGGCTCTGGGAAAAGTGTGAGAAAAAAGGTGTTTGCTGCTTTCAATACATACTAGAAACAAAGAACTCCAGCTAAACATAGAAGTTCACAACAAGAAAAAGGATATTTTCCTAATATTAATGTTCTACAGCTTTTTATTTGTTTTCTTTTGATGCATAAGACATAGGAATGAACTTGCTTACGTGAATACAGAAAGAAGTGTTTATGCCCCTTGTTCCAGTCCTGAACACTGAATGAATGAATGCTGCTGATTTCTTGGACGACTGTCACTCATTGCAACATGTCACTGCCTAACTCTAAAGACGTAAATAATTCTAGTGTTATCTTATCAGTAGGCAAATTTAAAAAAAAACACTTTTTCCTAATTGGACAAGGTAAGGAAGTTTGCTAATTCCTCAGGTGATGTGACTTGGAAGCTAACAATAAAATTGAAGTAATGCCATTGTTTTGTGATTAAGATCTATTGGGTTGGTTTTGTTTTGATTTGTTTTGATTTAAGTATGATATGTACTGTAAGATCTATAGTGAACATATGTAGAATAGAACTGGAGTTTGAAAACGAACTGGCCTAAAACATGTTTTGAACGTATGTCATGTTAAAAAGTTGCAGAATAGCCTCTGTTCCCTGATGTGCTCTGTATGAGTTAGTACTCTACATAAAAAAACTCCTTCTGAGATGCTCACCATGATTGTGATGGGAGCTCTCATAATTCAACTTAATTATTTTGAGTTAATCTGAAAATTTCTTCTGGGCTGTTGGTGTCTCAGCTGGCTCCTTGAAACTGATCAATATCCTAGACAGCGCAGAATTGGCAGCATTGGAGCTGAGATAACTGCCTGTGGCTGATTCAACAGACTCTTGCCCAAAATTCAGAGACTATCAATTTATTTCCATTGGGAAAGGAAACAGATGATAGATTTGCTTATTTCTTTGAGAACCTGATTATTTATAACAAAGCGCATTTTCTTCAATAGGAGATAATTCAAACAACAGCTTTTTTTTTTTTTTTTTTTTTTTGTAGTCCCCAGCCTTTCTTAGCCAACGCTCTGCCCAAAAGTGCCTGTGATGCTTTTCATCAGAAGAATGTTATGGCTGTTGCTTTTGTTTCTTTCTGTGTTCTTTCTTCATCTTCTCATGCTGTCATTCACACACCTCCATAGAAGACTATCTAGTGAAACCCTTGTATGTTTACAGCTAATACTTCCCAGTAGTCTCATATCTGATTGTTTAGTTGGTTTTCATTGTAATCTATATCTGTTTTGATGGGAGATGCCTTTGGTGGCATGATTTCAGCCACCCGGTTTCTCAAAGGGACTCTGTAGGTTCTTACACATAATACAGATGAAAAAGAACAATTACATAATGCATGATCAGTGAGGTTTAATCAAACCCAGATAAGGATGTATTGTCAAAGTTCCAGGAAACACATCTTTTCTGCCCTTCTACTTTTTCAAGCTGCCTGTTACAGAAGGAGAAGGAGAAATATTAGGTGTCCCTTGAGAACAGGGGTTAAGCATTCTTACCATTTGTGTTGGTAACCACTGGATGTCACTAATGCTTCACACAAACATAGAAATCCATGTATATTTTCCAGGCTGTAAAAAAAAAAAGACTTAAGGAGCTGGCCTGGGGAAGTATTTCTGGTTAGAGTGGGAGCAGATTGTATCAGTGTACAACAAACACAGAGCCTGTTGGGTTCACCAAGTTGTGTTGAACTGGATGACTTTGTAAGTGGTAAGCAGATCTTCTATTGTAAGACTTCGAGAAACAAAGCCTGCAAAGGTTTTTTGCATGTGTCAGTTAAGAAACATGAGCACAACCAAGCTGCTAGAGAAACTACAAATGGGAAGGCACTGATATGAGTTGGGTTGCATGTATATTTTACACTGTGTGTAAGCGTACACACATGCACACACAGACTTCATCTATTATCAGCAAAGGAAAGGAAATAATGAAAAAGGCTAAAATATGTCACTACTGTATAAAGTTAAGAGGAAGAATACGTCTGAGGATTTTAATAACTGCAATTTAAAATGGCAAAGCATCTTCTGTTGGCATCACCACATAGGTTCCTCTACTGTTGTGCCCTTTTTGAATGGCTTTCACTGCAATTCTCAAAGAGACAGCTTACTCAGTGTCTTATGCTGTCATGACTTTTGCACTAAATTATCAACCACTAGGATACCTGCTGCAGATGTATGTAGGATTTCCAGACTTCTGTTCGAGAAATCTCAGAGAGATATTTCTATTTATGCAGTGCATATGCCAGATATCAGACATATCCCAGCTGCTTCGGATTTGCTGTGAATTTAGAGATCAACTGTGCAGCCACTCTGCAAGGGATGGCTGTCTACTGCCAT